AACACCTGCCCTGAGATCCGGGCGTTGCAGTTTTTCCCAGCCATCCTGTGGTGTTGGACGCTCGTCTTGAAGAGACAGCGCCCCCGGTTCCCGCTCCTCTCGTCCCCTCCGCAGGTCCTCATCGTCGTCATAATTATGGGCGCATGCAGTTCCACCTCAGTCTCGGGGCACCCCTCACGCGTTCCGTGGCCCCATGAGGTGCTCCACCAGAGGGCCCAGTGGCAGGGCCCGCATGCAGTTCCACCTCGAATCCGGCGCACACCTCATACGTTTCGTGATCCCATCCGGCGCTCCAGTGGCAGGGTCCGCATGCAGTTCCAAGCCCCAATCCGGCGCTCCAGTGGCAGGGTCCGCATGCAGTTCCAAGCCCCAATCCGGCGCACCCCTCATCCGCTCCGTGGCCCCTAGGCAGCTCCACCGGAGGCCCCAGCGGCAGGGTCCGCATGCAGTCCCGCTTCCATTCCGGCGCACCCGTCACGTCTCGTGGTCTCATCGTGTGCTCCACCGAAGGCCCCAGAGGCGGGATCCGCATTGACCGCGCAAGAAGCCACCGCAGACAGAAGCCCTGGACGTCTCTTAAATTACGTTTTTTGTCGGTTGTTTCTGCGTTGCGGTTGTCGTCGGCAAAAGTGTTTCTGGTTTGACGCAGTGCTCTCTCGCAAGATTGCAGCCTGGCCACTTGCAGCGCCCATTCCGCGGAGATTCCCCTTGATGTGCTTTCGCGAGGCCGAGTGGCGATCATGCGCGGCGGCGCCCGTTTGCCACGACGCACGCGCGCGCTGATCAGGGGAGGTCGCAGTAGTAAAAACTTGGTCGCTGCGGCATTGCAGCATTACGTTTGAGGCGTCGCGTAACGCTCTTTTCGCTTGTTGGTTGCGCGTGTCTTGCGCGTGCGTGCGGATTGCCCCTGCGCAGCGATGCTTCGCGCGGCGTGACTGCGCCGATTTCGGGGTGACGATGCGCTCGTTCGTGCGGGCAGAGCGCCTCCGCGCGGCGAGGCCTCCTGTGCCGTCTAGCATGCCGCCTAGTTTGTTCCTTTCGGGGGTGGACAGAACCCCCAACAGTGACACGTCGATTAGTGAATTGTCCGTTTTCGGTTCTCGAGATGGCGCCGTGGCCGTTATTTTCCAGGCTTGCGACCGCCAGGTTTGGGCCTCAGGTCGTTTTCACTAAACCACGTTTTACTAAAGGGGGCTCTGTCCATCCCCGATCCTCCTGTGCTTGCGGCCCCCCCGCCCCCCTCCCTTCTCGGCGGCGCGCCAAACAACAACTGAAAGTCGTTCCTTCTGTTTTGCTTCGCGCCTGCGCACGCCACGTCCTCTTGGGCGGCGATCGTCTGCGGTTCGCCTCTCGCCCGACCTCTTCCCTTTGCCCTCCCCCTCCTTCTTTTCGCATTGTTTCTCGGTTCTTCCATTGTGCGCATCTCAAAGTGGAGAGCCTGGTCGGCTCGTGGAGGGCGCGACTTCGTTGACAAGTCATACGCATTGCGGTTACGTGTAGGGACTCGGGCGTATGCGTTGTGCCGATTTGTTCGCGGCAAGTCCCGCGCACTGCGATTGCGAATTTTCGGCGCGGCGAGTTTTAGAGCACCGCCAGGAAAGCCGTACCACGCGACAGATCGTCGCCCATACCCGTGCAATGGCCGCAGCATGTGACACGCTTATCCGTGTCGTTTCGGGTCGTACTCCGTCGTTTTCGTCGTCGTCGAACCCCCCCCTCCTCCTTCCCCCCGTTCTGAGTCCCTTTACTGTTTCGCCTCATTCTGCGTCCGTTGTTCTTGCTTCTCTTGGGTCTCTCACGGGTTAATCTCAGGCCGCATTGGGCTTGTCACGGGGTCATGTTGGGTTGTCTTGGGGGCCTTCTGGGGTATTCTTGGGCCTTCTTGGGGCTCTGTGGGACGCTTCCTGGCCATCGTGGGCCGTCGTGAGCTCCCCGGGGGGTCTGCTGGTGCCGGCTGGGGTCGTGCCCGCCTCCGTGGCGTTTTTTTGGGTTCGCCTGCGGATCAGCGGATGCAGTGCAGGTGCGGCCGTGATGGCATCAGAGTCGCCTTCAGATCTCGGCAGAACAGTTGCGTCGCGTTTTCAAACGGGATGTTCAGTTGAGGGCCTCCGACGGCCACGCTCGGACGTTTGAATTTGGGTTCCCCCGCTCCGAGAAAACATGGTGGACGTAAGAAACCTGCGGGTTCCTTAATCCATCCCCGCTATGAAGGCCTCGATGGTCCCAAAGCACGAGACGTCTGTCGATCCACGAAATACGATAAGGAGTTCCCAGGGTCCTAAATAAGGTCCTTATTTGGGTGCCTGGCGGTCCCACAATTCAGGGCCTTACTTTGGTCCTCGGCGGTCGCAGGTCCCACAGGACATAAAGATCCCATAGGTCCCATAGGTCCCGCAGTTCCCACAGGTCCTACAGGTCTCGCAGGTTGCGCAGGTCTAACAGTCCCCGCAGCTCCCACAGGCCCCACAGGTCCCACAGGTCCCACAGGTCTCGCAGGTCTCACAGGTCCCATTGGTCCCACAGTTCCCACAGGTCCCACGGGTCCCACGGGTCCCACAAGTCTCCCAAGTCCCACATCTGTCGCAAGTCTCGCAGGTCCCGCAGGTCCCGCATGCCCCACATATCCAACAGGTGCCGCAGGTCAAACAAATCTTGCAGGCGCCGCAGGCCTTGCAACTCTTGCAGGTCTCACAAGCCCCCTACGTCCCAGTGGTCCAACAGATCCCATAAGTCTCTCATGCCCCATGAATCCTAGAGGTGCCACAGGTTCCAGGTGTCCCACCGCTCCCACAACGCCCACAGGTCCCACAGGCCCCGCAGGTCTCGCAGGTCCTGTTGATCCTGCAGGTCCCACAGGTCTCACAGGACCCACATGTCCTACAGGTCCCACAGCTCCAATATGTCTCGCAGGCCCCGCAATTCCCACAGGCCCCACTGATCCCACAGATCCCACATGTCCTACACGTCCCCCAGGTCCCACAGGTCCCGGCCCAGGGGGTCCCATAGGTCCCACAGGTCCCACAGGCCCCACAGGTCTCACAGGTCCCACAGGTCTCACGGGCCACAGGTCCCACAGGTCCCACAGGTCCGACGGGTCCCACCGGTCCCACAAGTCCCACGAGTCTCGCAAGTCTTGCAGGTCGCACATGTCCCATAGGTCCTACAGTCCCCATAGGCCCCACAGGTCTCACAGGTTTCCCAGGTCCCACAGCAGGCCCCACAGGTCCGGCATTTCCAACAGATCCTACAAATCCCGCTGGTCTCACAGGTCTCTTTGGTCCCGCAGGTCCCACAAGTCGAGGTCCCACAGGTCACACAGCTCCATTAGGGCTCGTTGGTCCCGGAGGTCCCACAAGTCCCAGAGGTCCTACAGGCCCCGGAGGGCTCGCGGGTCTCGTAAGTCCCGCAGGTCCCGCAGCTCCCACAGGTCCCACAGGTCCCGCAGGTCCCGCATGTCCCACAGGTCCCACAGCTCCAACTGGGCCGGCAGGCCTCGATGGTCCCACATGTCTTGCAGGCCCTGCAGGTCTCTCATGTCACCTTTGCTGCCATCGGGGTGCTTTGCTAGGGTATGTTTTGACGCATCGGGCGCACGTAATTGCTCGAGCTGCGCGCAGTGCCGGATGGGCCATGAGCGCAAGTGGGAAACGCTACCCCACAAATGTGGTTCTGGACATTTTGTGCGAACCACCCCATTTCGGTACACCCCACATGTTTCGTCGCCCCAGAGGGTGCTCCGCCGAAGGCCCCAGAGGCAGTGTCCGCGTGCAGTTCACCCCGATTTCGGCGTACCCCTCACACGTTTCGTGGCCCCACAGGGTGCTTCGCCGATGGCCCCAGCGGCAGAGTCCGCGTGGCGGTCCCGCACCCATTTCGGCACACCGCCCTCACGCGTCTCGTGGCCTCACGGGGTGCTCCATCTGGAGGCCCCAGTGGCAGGGTCAGCACGGCGGCCCCGCACCCAGTTCGGCACGCCCTTCACACGCTTCGTGGCCCTATAGGGAGATCCACCGAACGCCTCAGTGGTGGGGTCCCATTTCGGCACGCCCCTCATACAGTCAGGGCGCTGAAGAAGGAACCCTTCTCGTTGGGGAGGGGCCTGGTGTTCCTTGATTGTTTTACAGTTTGGCTTGGGTTTTCCTGAGGTTTTCGATGGGAAATCCAAGCTGAACTTTTGGGATCAAGGGGCCTCGTTCCTTATTTAAGGTTCCTTAGGTCAATGCCCCGACTGTACAGACACACACACACACACACACTCACGTTCTGTGGCCCCACGGGGAGCTCCACCGCAGGCCCCAGCGGCGTTGTCCGCACGGCGGCCCCCATAGGGACCTGCCCCTCCTTCGTCCTGCCTGCCCTGCGGCACTCGCGCCCGCACATGGTTGGGTCCTTGGCATGGATAGTTGTCACAACGGGCGTTCTCGCCAGATTCCTCTCGCTTCGCGGGGTGCACGTCCGGAGCACGTCCAGTCGCGTCGTCGCGGGGCCTCTTGGGAGCCTCTTGGGGGCCTCCTGGAGGCCTCCTGGGAGTTTCTTTTGGCCTCTTGGGGACTTCTTTGGGGCCTTTCCGCCCTCCCTCCTTTTCATACACCCTCCCCATCTTCCCTTCCAGCGCCGGCTCTAATCATGGGCGCCGCTAATTGTCACAACGGACGTTCTCACCAGATTCTTGGGCTTTCGCCACACTGCCGACCCCTGAGGGAACTGTCGACTGCGACTGTCTTGGGCGCCTCTTCGGGGTCTCTTGGTGCCCTTTTGGGCGCTCCATGGGGGCTTCTAGAGGGCCTCTTGGAGCTTCGTGGAGGCTTCGCAGGGGCCTTGAGGATGCCGAGTGCTAGAACTGCGGGCTCGGGTTCCCCTTCGGGACCCTTCTTGTGGCTGTCTAGAGATTCTTTCGGGCCATCATGTTGGAGTCCTCTGAGGCAGTCTTTGGGCCCTGTGGGGGTCCTCGTTGCCTGTTTAGGAGCCCTCTCGGAGGCCATAAGACCGTCTGGGGGGATCTTGGGGCGTCGTGGAGCGTCGGGAGAATGACAAGGCGAGAACGCTTCAATCTTTCAAAGACGGATTGACAGTCAATGAGTGGTGCCTCTTATGGTCCTCTTGGGAGGGCAATTGGAGGCCTTTTGGGGCGTTTTTGGGGGTGTCTTAGGGTGTTCTCGTCAGATTTGGTACCTGGGGACCATCACAGATCGACCCGCCTCGGACAATGCCGCAGAACTATTGGGTCTAGTGCTCTGGTCGTCGTTTGTGACGATGTTTGGACTTTTCGCGACGTCGGATCTCAGGGGAGGGCACGAACCATACACCTACACAGATCATGGCCATTTCGATCCTGTGGGCCAAGGATCGTTGTGTATGCCTTCCTGCCCAAGCCAGGAGGTCGTGTACACCGTTCCTGGGCCCAGGATAAGCCTGACCATGATCGGTGTAGGTGTATAATTGGCGTCCTCCGACGAGGGCTTCTTCGAGCTGCACCGCGGCTTCTATGTGCGTCTCTCCGCGGCAGCCACGGTATGTCGGGGGCAGCGTTGGGGGGGGGGAAGGGCTGAGAGAGGGGATGCATCGACCCCCAATCGTCCACTCATTTACCCAGTAGCCCACCCCCGCAGGGGGATGCGGATATGCTCTTGGGAGCCTATCGCCGATCCATCGGCGATGTGTCGCCGATTCCAGGTCGATGCCCCCCCTCCGAGCCAGTCCCTCCCAGACGTTCCCCCCTCCCAGGTGTGGCTCCTGGGCGGGCCCGTCTCCATGCTCTTCGCGCTGCTGCTGCCGGCCTGGCACAGGTTCAGGGCCGTCGCCGCGACGGACCTTGCGTCTCGCCTTGCGGCCCAGACGCTGCTCGCGTGGCTGTTCTGCGGCCCGCTCAGCCCCATCGCCACTCCCGCGGGCCCCTTCGCGCGGGGCCCGCGCCCCGCGGGGGCCGGCGGCGCGGAGCTGGCGCAGCCTCCGGACGGTACTCCTCTGATCTACCCTCAGGACAGGGCCGAGAGCTGACGGTGCCGCCGTCCCAGCAGCAGCGGCTCGCCTCCACCGCGGAACACCAGTGCCCAGCTCGAAGGGAAAGCACGGCTGCACAGATGTACGCTTTCGGAGGTTCGGTCGAGTCTCTTGGATCGGCACTGGGCCCCCCTTGGCGGCGCCTCTGGCGCTGCCCTCTGGCGCGCTCCGCGCGCCAGGGAGTGGGGCCCTGCGCCGATCCAGCATCCGCGCGGACGTCCGCAATCATAATTACCTTTGCGCAATTTTTCCCAACACTCCTGCACTGGGTTCTCGTCTTGAATAGAGCACTGCGGTCGCACACTCCTCCTGCCTCCCCCTCCTCTGCTCCATCTTGCCTCTCACCTTCTCCTCTTCTGCTCTGCCTTCCAGCCTGCCTCTCCTGTCCGCCTGCCAGCCTGGCTCCTACCTCGCCGTCACACGCGACCTCGCCATCCCCGCGAACTGCGAAACTGTCGCCACTTTGGAGGGCTGCTTGGGGGGGGGGGCAGCATCGTGGGTACCAGGCGCGATTCAGATTAGACCTCGCCATCCCTGGGGTGCTGCGACCTGTGAAACTGTCGCCATCTTCGAGGGCTGCCAGGTAGGCCATGGCCAGCATGGTGAGTACCAGGCCTGGATTCAGATTAGACCTCGCCGTTCCTTGGGGGCTGCGAACTGCGAAGCGGTCGCCACTTAGCTGCTGGTGGGTCCCGCATAGGTACGTCCTGATCAACATCAGATTCGACCTCGCCATTCCTGGGGTGCTGCCAATTGCGAAACTGTCGCCACTTTCGAGGGGTGCTGGAGGGGGCAGCATCGTGAGTACCAGGCGCGGATACGTATTATACCTCGCCGTTCCCGGGGGGGCTGCCAACTGCGAACCAGTCCTTATTTTCGAGGGCAGCTGGTGGGGCCAGCATTGTAGGCATCAGGCGCATATTCAGATCATCTCGCCCTCGTGCCTCCTACCTGCCTGCCAGCCTGCCTCCTACCTCGCCGTCCTAGGTAACCTCGCGAGCTTTGGGGGGCTGCAAACTGCGAAACTGTCGGCCACGTTCGATGGCTGCTGGGGGAGCCCGCGTAGTTGATTCCTCAGCCGCAACATTCCCGATTCTGCCAGCAGGCGCGGTGCATGTTTCACACGCAACATTTGCGTTGCAGCTGATTGGCAGCTTTGGTGCGGCCGCGCAGTAGTTAGGTGGGGCAGTACGGCTCCGAAAATTGAAAGACGCAGCAGCAAAGGTGATGGGGGTGGTCCCAGCAGCAATCGCAGTCGTAGTCGTAGTCGTAGTAGTAGTAGTAGTTAGGGAAAAAGGATATAGTAGTAGTATAGGTTTTTCAGTATAGCAATTAGAGTAGTATTAAAGTAGTAGTAGTAGTATAGTAGTAGTAGTAGTAGTAGTAGTAGTAGTTGTAGTTGTAGTAGTAGTAAGTAGTACAAAAAAAACTAGTAGTAGTAGTAGTAGAGTATTATAGTAGTAGTGTTGGGTGTGGGGGTGGTGGTGGTGGTGGTGGTGGTGGTGGTGGTGGTGTATAGTGGTAAGTAGTAGTAGTATAGTAGTAGGCATTAGTAGTAGTAGTAGTGGTGGTGGTGGGTGGTGGTGGTGGTGGTGGTGGTGTGGTATAGTAGTATAGTAGTAGTAGTACTAGTAGTAGTAGTAGTAGTAGTAGTAGTAGTAGTAGTAGTAGTAGTAGTAGTAGTAGTAGTAGTAGTTGTAGTAGTTGTAGTAGTTTAAGGGAGTTTCTGCGGAACTACCGTCATCCTCACCCCCGGCGCGGGGAGCAGAGGAGCGCAGAGCGGCCTCCGGCACCGTTTCCCGACAGATCCGGTGGATCCGGTGGATCCGGTGGATCCGCCGACGAATCCCAAACCAGCGCCCTCGCTTGAGACATCCTCACAAAACCGGCCCCGGGGGCGGTGCCCATAGGAGCCCAGGCAGCCTCCGGCAACCGTTTCCGGACAGATCCGTGGATCCGGCCGACGAATCCTCAAACCGGCGCCCTCGCCTTGAGACGATCCTCAGCTATAGCCGGCCCCGGGGGGGTGCCCAGAGGAGTCCGCAGAGCGGCTCCGGCACCGTTTCCGCGCAGATCCGGTGGATCCGCCGACGAATCCCCAACCGGCGCCCTCGCTTGAGACATCCTCACAAAACCGGCCCCGGGGGAGGTGCCCAGAGGAGCCCAGAGCGGCCTCCGGCACCGTTTCCGGACAGATCCGGTGGATCCGGTGGATCCGGTGGATCCGCCGACGAATCCCAAACCGGCGCCCTCTCTTGAGACATCCTCACAAAACCGGCCCCGGGAGCGGTGCCCAGAGGAGCCCAGAGCGGCCTCCGGCACCGTTTCCGGACAGATCCGGTGGATCCGCCGACGAATCCCAAACCGGCGCCCTCGCTTGAGACATCCTGACAAAACCGGCCCCGGCCCTGAGGGTCGGGCGTCAATCATTGTTTACTTTTCAGGACATTTCAGGGAAACAATGATTGACGCCGGTCACGCGGAGAAAAAATGTTTACCCCCGCCGGCGTCCGGTCGCGCGACATTGAATATCCGGCGTCCGGTCACGCAGCGAAGTAAATGTTTACCAGGGCGACGTGTCGGCGCGTGATTCAAAAAACAAAAAAACCTCCAGTTCTTACTGTCCTCCCCCTTCAGCCTGTACTTTGGGGGCGACGACGACTGACGGCGACGGCGACGGACGACGACGGCGGTGGACAACGACGACAGACGACGGCGCCGTGGCGATGGCGACGCACTTATCTCGCATGGAGTTACGCCTCGTACAGCATCGCCAACAACGAGCAGCTAAAAATAACAACACAAAACATATGGTTTGAGGGAGTTTCTGTGGAACTCACGTCATCTTCACCCCCGGCGCGAAGAACACGAGCCCAGAGCGGCCTCCGGCACCGTTTCCGGACGGATCCGCTGGATCCGCTGGATCCGCTGGATCCGGTGACGAATCCCAAACCGGCGCCCTCGCCTGAGACATCCTCACAAAACGGGCCCCGGGGGGGATGCCCAGAGGAGCCCAGAGCGGCCTCGGGCACCGTTTCCGGACGGATCCGCTGGATCCGCTGGATCCGCTGGATCCGCTGGATCCGGTGACGAATCCCAAACCGGCGCCCTCGCCTGAGACATCCTCTCAAAACGGGCCCCGGGGGGGATGCCCAGAGGAGCCCAGAGCGGCCTCCGGCACCGTTTCCGGACGGATCCGCAGGATCCGCTGGATCCGCTGGATCCGGTGACGAATCCCAAACCGGCGCCCTCGCCTGAGACATCCTCACAAAACGGGCCCCGGGGGGGATGCCCAGAGGAACCCAGAGCGGCCTCCAGCACCGTTTCCGGACGGATCCGCTGGACCCGCTGGATCCGGTGACGAATCCCAAACCGGCGCCCTCGCCTGAGACATCCTCACAAAACGGGCCCCGGGGGGGATGCCCAGAGGATCCCAGAGCGGCCTCCGGCACCGTTTCCGGACGGATCCGCTGGATCCGCTGGATCCGCTGGATCCGGTGACGAATCCCAAACCGGCGCCCTCGCCTGAGACATCCTCACAAAACGGGTCCCGGGGGGGATGCCCAGAGGAGCCCAGAGCGGCCTCCGGCACCGTTTCCGGACGGATCCGCTGGATCCGCTGGATCCGGTGAAGAATCCCAAACTGGCGCCCTCGCCTGAGACATCCTCACAAAACGGGCCCCGGGGGGGATGCCCAGAGGAGCCCAGAGCGGCCTCCGGCACCGTTTCCGGACGGATCCGCTGGATCCGCTGGATCCGCTGGATCCGCTGGATCCTGTGACGAATCCCAAACCGGCGCCCTCGCCTGAGACATCCTCACAAAACGGGCCCCGGGGGGGATGCCCAGAGGAGCCCAGAGCGGCCTCCGGCACCGTTTCCGGACGGATCCGCTGGATCCGCTGGATCCGGTGACGAATCCCCAACCGGCGCCCTCGCCTGAGACATCCTCGCAAAACGGGCCCCGGGGGGGATGCCCAGAGGAGCCCAGAGCGGCCTCCGGCACCGTTTCCGGACGGATCCGCTGGATCCGCTGGATCCGCTGGGTCCGGTGACGAATCCCAAACCGGCGCCCTCGCCTGAGACATCCTCACAAAACGGGCCCCGGGGGGGATGCCCAGAGGAGCCCAGAGCGGCCTCCGGCACCGTTTCCGGACGGATCCGCTGGATCCGCTGGATCCGGTCACGAATCCCAAACCGGCGCCCTCGCCTGAGACATCCTCGCAAAACGGGCCCCGGGGGGGATGCCCAGAGGAGCCCAGAGCGGCCTCCGGCACCGTTTCTGGACGGATCCGCTGGATCCGCTGGATCCGCTGGATCCGGTGACGAATCCCAAACCGGCGCCCTCGCCTGAGACATCCTCACAAAACGGGCCCCGGGGGTGATGCCCAGAGGAGCCCAGAGCGGCCTCCGGCACCGTTTCCGGACGGATCCGCTGGATCCGCTGGATCCGGTGACGAATCCCAAACCGGCGCCCTCGCCTGAGACATCCTCACAAAACGGGCCCCGGGGGGGATGCCCAGAGGAGCCCAGAGCGGCCTCCGGCACCGTTTCCGGACGGATCCGCTGGATCCGCTGGATCCGGGATCCGACGAATCCCAAACCGGCGCCCTCGCCTGAGACATCCTCACAAAACGGGCCCCGGGGGGGATGCCCAGAGGAGCCCAGAGCGGCCTCCGGCACCGTTTCCGGACGGATCCGCTGGATCCGCTGGATCCGGTGACGAATCCCAAACCGGCGCCCTCGCCTGAGACATCCTCACAAAACGGGCCCCGGGGGGGATGCCCAGAGGAGCCCAGAGCGGCCTCCGGCACCGTTTCCGGACGGACGACCTGACTGCATAACACGCCTGGATATGCCGACGGGGGCGAAGGAGGAGGAGGAGGAGGAGGAGGAGGAGGAGGAGGAGGAGGAGGAGGAGGAGGAGGAGGAGGAGGAGGAGGAGGAGGAGGAGGAGGGAGGTGCAGGCGAGGGAGCCCCGGCCCTGGGGAGGGCCCTGAGGGAGCCCTGATGGGCTTCCGGCACCATGGAGAGGTCCTGTGGGGCGGCCGCCCCTTCTTCTCTCGGTCGTTTCCCTCTCGCCCAAAAGCGCGCGCCCCTTTTTTTATATATACAGAAACTCCCGATCAACCGCAGAGCGGCGGATGTTAATCCCCTTTCTTCTCTTCTTCACGCTTCTCTCTTTTACGTCCTGGGCACGACGGATATAAAAGGCCCAACCCCTGTCCCGCCCCCTCTCCTTCCCATGCAGACAAAGCAACAACCCCAAAAACAACAACATCAACAAGAGCAAGACTTATCTCGCATGGTGTTACGCCTCGTACATCATCACCAACAGTGATCAGCAAGCCTGAACAACAAAATAACATCCGCCGCTCTGCGGTTGATCGGGAGTTTGTGTATATATAGAAGAAGGGGCGCGCGCTTCTGGGCGAGAGGGAAACGACCGAGAGAAGAAGGGGCGGCCGCCCCACAGGACCTCTCCATGGTGCCGGAAGCCCATCAGGGCTCCCTCAGGGCCCCTCCCCCAGGGCCGGGGCTCCCTCGCCTGCCCCCTCCCCCTCCTCCTCCTCCTCCTCCTCCTCCTCCTCCTCCTCCTCCTCCTCCTTCGCCCCCGTCGGCATATCCAGGCGTGTTATGCAGTCAGGTCGTCCGTCCGGAAACGGTGCCGGAGGCCGCTCTGGGCTCCTCTGGGCATCCCCCCCGGGGCCCGTTTTGTGAGGATGTCTCAGGCGAGGGCGCCGGTTTGGGATTCGTCACCGGATCCAGCGGATCCAGCGGATCCGTCCGGAAACGGTGCCGGAGGCCGCTCTGGGCTCCTCTGGGCATCCCCCCCGGGGCCCGTTTTGTGAGGATGTCTCAGGCGAGGGCGCCGGTTTGGGATTCGTCACCGGATCCAGCGGATCCAGCGGATCCGTCCGGAAACGGTGCCGGAGGCCGCTCTGGGCTCCTCTGGGCATCCCCCCCGGGGCCCGTTTTGTGAGGATGTCTCAGGCGAGGGCGCCGGTTTGGGATTCGTCACCGGATCCAGCGGATCCAGCGGATCCGTCCGGAAACGGTGCCGGAGGCCGCTCTGGGCTCCTCTGGGCATCCCCCCCAGGGCCCGTTTTGTGAGGATGTCTCAGGCGAGGGCGCCGGTTTGGGATTCGTCACCGGATCCAGCGGATCCAGCGGATCCGTCCGGAAACGGTGCCGGAGGCCGCTCTGGGCTCCTCTG